AAACCCCTTTACCCATTGGATCTTAAATGTTCTCTGTTGCATGTTAAATGGTAAGTGCTTATATTTAATTCATTCATGCCATCTCATGACGTCAGTTAATTCATTGTTCATGGGAATTTTATCGTGCAATATCCAGAGTTTTCTCTACAGAGAATGGTCATTTAAGTAGAGGTAGACACAAATGCTATCTAATAAACGCCATGCATTTCTTTTATTGTAGGTTTCCCTGTTATGCCAACGTCGTTGTTTGTCCTGTTTCTTTCGTTGTGTTTTGTACATAAATTACATTTGTGCTACAAGAGGATCGGAGGGCGCGGGATATCACAGCACTTTACAAGTCATTCCAACGATGTTCATGCAAGCACTGATTACCGAATGCGTGAAAATAATGTTACGGCATCCGCAATTGATGCCGAGGTGTTAGCCTGCACAAACGCAGGATGTTATCATGCAGAGGTGGAGAAGAAATTTGAGGAGGAGATGGATGAGGGGGTCCAGGTGGAGCAGGAGAAAAAGGAAGAGGAAGATGGGCGACAGAAGGAGAACGAAGAGAAGAAGGAGGAGGATGAGGAGGAGGAGGAGGAGGAGGAGGGGGTGTTGGAAGAAGAACATGGAGCATCTCTTATTGTGGAAGCAGTAGATAACGCCTCGATACGGGAGGATGATTCTGAGAGCTCAGGCCACAGTAAGTGCAACAAATACTAGCATTAACCATTAAGATATTTGCGAACCTGTTAACTGCTCCCTAAATTCGCATTTGAAATCTGTAATAGACAGGACCGTGCAGTGCTCAATAACAGAGCTGAGGACGCAGAAATTCGTCCCAGAGCTTGAGTCGATCAAGGAGGTGTCGGAAGAGGAAGAGAAAGAAGACGAGGAGAAGGAGGAGGAGGATGAGGAGGAGGAGGAGGAGGAGGAGGAGGAGGAGGAGGTAGAGAAGGTGGAGGTAGAGAAGGTGGAGCGGAAGGAGAAGGAGGAGATTAAAGGGAACGTCGACGGCGACGTCGACACGCTGAACGACTCAGAGATAGACAAGAAGCCGACAATGCATAACCGACCGCTTGAGTCAGTAACCGTTGTGAGGCAACCTCCGAGATGGAGGAATGTTCGTAGGTCGTCGCGTAAGTTCACAAACACGTCACTATCCCTCTTTGTTCGTCCATAGGCAACTTTATTTCTTTAGTCCTATAACTCTTTTATCACTTACTTATCGCTCTTTTTATTCACACTTCCTATGTTAGAAGCGTATACGCTGTTGGATCGGCAAAAACCAAACGCTTTTCGACGACGACTACGAGGAATATGGACGAAATTTTTCTGTTGCGGTCATTCACCTACCCAGGACTGAATTTACTCCCTACCCTCATGTACATAGATAAAATTTTGTATGTAGAACTTTTGTGCATGTAAATATTCCTGATTCTCCTCCCTTACTAATACATGTTTTTGCGTTCTCTCAGTTCTGCTTTAAGAAGATAGAGAGAAATTGGAAGGAGGAGGGGGAGGGGGAGGGGACGTGGAATGTCTGTTAATTGTATATGTAACGGTGCTTTTGTGACTTGGGCAGCTACAGCAGGTAAAATAATTGGAGTCATTTGAGGATATTGTAGTAACGCATTATTTATCGCATGAAATGATTTCCTTGCATGAGAGTGCAGGACGTAGATCTAGGCAGCCCCTGGTTTTATCCATTCGCGCTTTTCTAGTGGGCCATAACTTCGCTAAATCACAGGATGTTGGCATTTGGTAGGCATTCACCTGGCTTCCTGTGGCTGTTTCACTGTAGTGCTGCCCTGTATCTTGTTTCTTCCACTTTATCGGCGACTCTGGATCAGAGAGAATACTTTGTGATATTTGAAGATCTGAGGTTAAGTGATCGCTTTGCAACATGCAGCCATCTTAACTACCTTATTTGTTCGTTGGCTGACGATGCACATGATGTGTATGAAACGGTACACTTGTCCCAGTTCACCGTCGAAGGGAGACACGGCCTTTGGGGGCTTTGTGAGAATGCTGAAGCCGAATATTTTTGACTGTTGTGAAAAGGCGGTCGGTAAGTGTCGAATGTTGTCAGGGCGAGAGAGCACGTTACATGTAAGGCCCTTGATGGATCATGACTGTGAGGCAAAATAATCGTCCACTGAACTCAAGTTGATCGTCTGCCACACACAATTCTCTAACGGCATTATTAAAGTCATATGAGACGGGATATGGGCATATCTGTAGTCCTGGTTGCGCTCATACAGGGCGCGTAAATTGAAAATCTCATGGCCGATTTCCGGGATATTTGGTCTGATCCGACAGGAACTCTGACGACGACAATGAGGTGAATGATGGGATGGATTAGGCGGATGAGGCGAAGGATTATGCGATGTACAATTAGGAGTATGGGTAGGTGGAGTAAGAAGATTAGTCCGTGTGCGTAGACTAATGAGGAAAAAATCTGGACAACTTATTGTAGGCAGCTTTGGGATATGAATGTATCCACAACCGGCGTCTACTAGCTTCTCTTCGTCGTCGTTTGCAACGGAGCTTGTATCTCTTCTCCGCCACCTGCGATCATTTTGAGATGGTCATCAGCATGATTTTTTACACATATAGATTGTAAATATACCCCCTTTTTCCAGCACTCGCTGTTTTATTTATTTCGAATATTCATTTCAGCCGTCGAGGCGAGCTGTACACGCATTTTTGACATGATTTGCTCTACTTGCGCGCATTTACTACCGAGGATTCTGATAGGTACTGTTCAAATGAGTGCTTCTGCTGGTTGCACATTAATCATATTCTGCACCATTATTGCTCTACATTTGATGAACCAGAGCAGAGTTAGATTTCCCTTTTCTTCGGCGATGTATTTACCGAGAATATCCACGATCTCTCTTGCGCACTGCTCGATCAGCACCTTGCCCTCATGTAGATTTTGGTGACAATCCTGGATCAGAATTATCGTCATCTACTTGATAAACTGTTCCACAAATTAACCTTTTGCCGTGTGTGCGGTGACCTTATAATAGTAGCATGGTTGCGTCAATCCGTCTTGGATGCGTTTGTGCAAATAAGCATTGTTGCCTTTCAGGTGCCACTCGTCCGAAGTTCATCGAGTCTGTTTTTTTTTACGAATGGATTCAATTGTTAGAATTCCAGCTGTGCTTACTAAGAAAGACGTGTAAATTGCTAGTCAATCGCTTAAACCGTTCATTTAATTATCTAATCTTTGAAACTCATGCAGTTCAATTCAGTTCAGTTCAGTTTATTTGAGGGAAATATAGGTGGTAAACTTTTGAACTCCCTATTTGTTACAAGGAGGCGAACAATAAAAAAAAATTTGAAAATGGAAACATCAAACGGCTACAGAGTTTCTTCAGATTGGCAACGTTTTTTAAGCCAGACAGATAAACGAATTGTTCCAAGAGTTAAAAACATTAACGTTACTAAATGTGCTGTACAGTAGTCTGTCTAGGGATAGTTGGTGGTATCTCAGTTTCGGAGGGAGACGAATTGAATGCCAACACACATTCATCAGACATGGGACAATATTAAAAAACAAACGTTACTGAAATACAGGAAGTAATATAATAACATTAATAAACTGTTCGAACGAAATGCTAGACAATCTGTCAAGTGGCATTATGACGATTGGTGGCAATCTGGTCCAAGTTGGGCTTAAAAGCCTCGACGGAGGTGGACATGACGACACCTGCAGGCAGAGCATTCCAGGCCTCGATCACTCTGTTTGAAAAGAGGAACTTCCGAGTGTCCAGCTTGGCGCCAGTTACGCGTAGTTTAAGTGGATGAACACGGAGGTTCGTTGTGGTCGCTAACTCAAAGAAATCAGTAGGTACGAGACAGCAATCCTGGCCGCGCAGTATACGGAATGTTTGTATAAGGTCGCCTCTTAGCTGTCTGTAACTCAGTGGAAAGAGGCCGAAATTGGACAATCGGGTTTCATAGGGTAGTGAACCCTGTCCATCGTCAAAAATATAAAAATGCGACGGAACAAGTGACAGGTTTGGGGTATGTCAGCCATTCAAATATCATTGTCATCAGTCTTGGGGTCTGTACGTGGCTCTGTAGGGCGGCACCAGACTAAAATATGCCGATTGAGTGAGCTGTCATGTGAGGTCTAGGCTTCAGTCAATTCTAGTCGTGTCTCGCTATTAGCGTGGGCGCCCGTCATTTTAGCTGCTAGTTTGCGGCGGTAATTCATTTCGAAATTGAAGACAGCCACTAATGATTATTCCGCATCCCGTCGCACAGCCATGAATATTGATATGGACGCGATAGATGCATGATTACGTTCGTAACTGTGGACTTATAAGAACAGTCTATTCACGGTTTACGTTACATTACATCGGACTTCTGATTGTGATTTATTTGGTCCTTCATAATCATGGCCATGCTGCGCATAGTCGCTTTGGCTCGAAGTCCCTTAGCAATGTATTCGATCGTCTCTGAAACGGCCATGATGTACGTTAGAGCTTGCCATATCGTCGATGGTTTCCGATAGTGACCTCCAGGGACAATTACCTGGGCAACGACTTCTAAGCGTCCTCCAATGGCAATTCCACATAAACCGCTCGTGGAGATACCCGGCCTTACATGTTTTTTTCAGCTAGGTTACTGCAGTCATCCTCACCCCGTATGATGAGTGTTCGCATAGTTTCGCATGTAAGCCACCGAGGTGTTGCTGAAAAAACTGAACAGCTGTGTGTCGTTCGCCGCCTTTCTGTAAACCATTATTTTTATTCCATTCATTGAACTTTGCCTGAAGAACACATATAGGAAATGCAGTTGCTGCATCTTTTTCCCATCACCACTTGGGAATTATGTGTCCGGAAAACTTAGATGTACAGGTCACGAAAATTCTACGGCACCTTCTTCTCGACAATAACAACATTGTCATAGACGTTACGGCTCTAAATAAACTGGGTCCTGACGACTGACTTAGTCCCTTCTGGAGATTTGGGGACCTTTTAAAGTCCCCTTTATTTACTACTAGGCTTCTCCAAATTCCGGCCATTAACTAGCGTTCAGTAGAATAACAGGTCAGGTATACAGATCGACGCGTCTGCAGTTGCCCTACAAGAATCACGTTATTGTTCCACAGAATTTCCAGAATCCATACTGCCCCTTTCGAATATATTATTTTTGCTAATAAATTGACGGGCAATTGAAGGCATTGATGAAGAAAGTGTTGACAGCTTTACTGGGGAGGTAAATGTTTTAATAGTTATCCGAATTCGGTCCTTTCATTTTGGCAGTCAGGAACTTGACCCTGGTGCCTAAGTTATTATTGCGCTATGCGCAATCACTTGGATGAGTTTGGGGATGCCAATTGTGATAGCTATGCAGTACCATAGCAGCTGAATCTCACAGATGCTGCAGCACTTGTGGGCAGCGTTGCATTGATCGGAATCCGTTTCTCGTGCCGGTGTTTATCTGGAATAAAAACCTACTGACTACCTGTCCGCCTGAGTGGTCTTCAATGACAAATACTGTCCTTCAGTTCTTTTCCGTTAATTTGGTAAGAATTATAGGCAAGGCCTTTGTACACCTTATTGATTACATGTCATCTCGTTAGATACAACTGTACACGAACAATGAAAATCTGCGCTATTAAAGCATTACTTGATTCAGTTGAGTAGCATTGTTAATAGAAAAAAATTTGCGGGGACCGCAGGGTGTTTAGCTCAGGTTTAGACTGTCGAGGGTAAATAGGGGACACAAAATATCACCTCAGCGTTTCTTGAAGCTGACTGACTGAGAGTGATTGTTTCATTTCTCCACTACCGTTTGCGCGAAAAATTCAGAGCGAAGATTCAACCTGGACATTTTTGTGCGTGGCTTCATCGAGGGACCACGAAGTTTGGGTGAAAGGCGCCATTGAAACATGTCCTTAAAGCTAAATCCATGCTGAAGGTCATGTATTATCCTAAAGAAGAGGATAGGTAACATTGAGAGAACAAATAAAGGCAATTTACTCTCTCAATGTAGGATTGGCTTTTTTGAACCGTTCACCAGCTTTGTTTCACGACGCTGTACTCATCCAAGGTATGTTTGCTAATTTACAAGCCATGGACGTCAAGCTTGTATGCTCTGTTCTGAATGGTACCGAACGGGGGTGCCGTGAGGTCCTCCAAAGTGGTTATTGTCAAAGCTTAC